CGATCCCACTCGCAAAGAGGATTGTATCAGTGTCCGAATGTGGACGGGTTTTTGTACAAGTGCAATCTACTTTTCTGCATCTGTGTGGAACACGTCCAGATTCAGACACTTATTCCAATCCTCTTTGCCTGTGGGATCTGGCCCTATCTCAGCTGGTGAACCTGCAGCGCGCCTCAGGAGGTGTGGGGGCTTGATTGGGGACTGTGGGGAATCGAACCCACAACGTCCCGAACGCCTCTCTTGCGCTCGACCAACTGAGCTAGGCCGCTTGGCCTCATGTTCTGGTCCTTCTGTTCTTTCCGCAATGCAATTTCTGCAATGCGATTTCTTTTGGACTTGACTTAAACAGCTAGTACACAACCCCAGCCTTGCTGAAAAGAAACTCATCACCTGTTGCAGTGGACAGGACAACTCCGGTCGCAGCTTGAAGCCCTTTGTCAGCAACAGTCACGATGGGTGATACCAGTCGTGGTAGTATGCAGTCCGTCGTCTCTCTCCCGAAAGTCGATGTTTGTCTATGTACTCTCATTCTTCATCTCCAGCTCTTCGCCCAGGTGAAACTGCATCCACTACCACAACGCAATAGTGCTCCGTATCTATAATCAGAGGGCAGTTCGTCGTCTCTCTCCCAGAAGTAGGTGTTTGTTGATGTACTCTCATTCTTCATCTCCAGCTCTTCGCCCAGGTGAAACTGCATCCGCTACGACAATGCAATAGTGCTCCCGGACCGTATCTATAATCAGAGGGCAAAGCCCCTGATCAGGTGATAATACTGGTACTGGTATATATGATGCACAGATCCTGCCCGTTGACCGACCCCACATCTCTCCCTTTCCTTCCACGGTCAGTCTAGGATTACCAACTCTCGTCGGCCAAGATTAGGCTATGGCAGGTGCATGGTTGTGCCCCCCTCGAAGCGGTCTCCGCCTCAGCGCCCACCGGCTCTAATGCCTCCCCACCTCCGCCACTCCCAACAGCAAACTCTGGCTGAGCGCAGCTAATTCACAGCTGCCCCTGTGCGATCGTACTGACGATGCCCTACATTATGCAGCAGTAGCACCTGGCCATGTTCTCAGATACACCTTGGTTCTCAGATACACATGACTGAGGGCGTGGCCACACCACTCTGGAAGTGTGAAAAAGACAAAAAATGTGGCCAGTGCACCTGGCCATGTTCTAGGAGGAAGTTCATGCTCATTTTGCACATTTCGACAGTGGTGTGGCCATGCCCTGCGTATGCGTCATAGACTGCATGGCAACCTTTGGCACAGAAACCAGGGGCTAGGTCCTACTTGCACGGATTAAGAGATTCTGGCCGTTGATCTTTGCTATCTACAATCAATATCGCTTAATTCGTGTAAGTGGGACCTAGCCCCAGGAATTTTAGACCGGAGACAGCCCAGTCAATAGGATATAAGGAAGTATACAGTGGCTGTCACACAGGGGGGGTTTTGCTACCCCACCTTTTTGGTGCTTCAAGTTTTTTTTTTTTTTTTTCCCACGACAAGCCGATACCGACACTGGGTAATGGGCCCAGGGCCGAGGTCCCACTAGCGCAGAGGATTGGATTGAACGCCCGAATCTGGATGCTTTTGTGCAAAGGTGCAGAGTATCGAGCTTGAACTGCTTTTATGAATATCTGGTTGAAACACGTCCAGATTCAGGAGCTCAATCCAATCCTCTTTGCTATTGGGACCTCGGCCCGGGTCTTTCGCCGGGTTGTTTGTGACGATTCCCGGCCTCGACGTGTCTTTTTTTTTTTTTTTGGGAAAAGACGACGACGACGACGTTTATTTGTACTGAAAATGAAATTGAATGCATTTTTTCGAAAAAAAAAAAAAAAAAAAATATTTGTACTGAAAGCATGGTTTCTAATAATAATTAAAGGAAACAAAAATAAAACAATAAAAAAATTGCCTGTAAAAGATTGAAGGGGACACACTTTTAGGGGGGAATAGGCAAGAAAAGACAAAGTGGCGCCAGTGGCATGGTGTTTGTTTCGAAATGTGCAAGTTTAGTTGGGGGGGGGTCTAAAACTGCGCCAATCGTTACCCCCGCAGTGGCAGAAAAATGACGATAACCAGGAACAAGCCGCACGACATTTTGACGCAAAGCAGGATGTCTCTACTCCTGCTCAGCCGTTCCACCGAGTGATCTCTCTCTCTCTCTCTCTCTCTCTCTCTCTCTCTCTCTCGTGCGGGCACACACACACACACACACACGCACACACACGCACGCACATCCTCCCTCTCTCTCCCTCTCTCTCCCTCTCTCTCTCTCCAGTTCTTTGTTCGGTTCAATATTGTGCGCGCACGGAGAGGGAGTGTATGGACCTCGTCCCAGTACTCCCAGTGCTCACCACATGCTCAACAGACGAAAACATGGCGGTGTATACTTCCCATGTTCTAGCGGAAGATTCATTTGGCGAGCAGTGGCAATGGAGTGGGGGAGAAATATGGGAGACGAGGATCGATTAACTGTCTCACTCTATGGCGTACTTTTTGTCGTGTAGTAACGATACCAGGACATCTTCGCTGTAATGTCCCTTCCGTTGCCGATAGCAGGAAGTGAAGCTTTGACCGTTGCAACTGGAAGTCCAGAAGTCCAGAAGGCCGGAAGGGAGCGCCAGCAAACGTGCTTGCGCTCTCTCGCAAGATCTCATCTACCTACCCATTCACACACACACATGTACCTACTTTTGCAAGCACGTACGCATGCGGAAGTGACGATGCACACCCGCGCGCACACAGACCGACAATTTGCAACAGCTGCCTCTCCTCTTCTTACCCAACAGTCTCTCTCTATCTCTCGCTCGCTCTCTCGTTCTCCCTCCCTCTCTCTGTCTCTCTGTCTCCCTCTGTGGTACACGTAGGCATATACACGCACACGCGTACACAAACACACGTACACAAACACACGTACTAGAGCAGTTGAGGCAATAGATGGAGTTTACTTGGTGCGATCCTGGTTGGCAATTCTCGCCATTGTAGAAGCGTAGTACTGTCTTCCAGGGTGCACTCATACCCACTTCTCTCTCTCTCTCTCTCTCTCTCTCTCTCTCTCTCTCTCTCTCTCTCTCTCTCTCTCTCTCTCTCTCGCTCGCTCGCTCGCTCGCTCGCTCGCTCGTTCACACGTTCTCTCGCTCTGTCGCTCTGTCGCTCTCTCTGTGGCACATTTGCTTTGGAAGGAGAGGGGAGAGAATCAGGAGAAGCAGCAGCATTGGCAGAAGAAGTATGGGGTTGAAGAAGAAGACGGATTGAGGAGTGTTGGGGCAATAATGAAAATCGTCTCTCTGCTCTGCTTTCTCCCTAGATTGCTTCTCGCTCTGCAAAATGATTGCGCGATCCCCCGAGACTTGTGTGAAATTCTGTGGGGGGGTTGCATGACCATCGCCTCGTTACCATTTGGAGGAGGTGAAGAAGACGGAGTGTGGGTGTCTGAAGACGACGTGAGAATTCTGCCCAAGAAGAGAAGATGTCATTGTCGCTCTGGCTGACGAAGTGAGACTGTCCGGAAGTTCGATTGCAGCCTTGACATCCCATTGTTGGCGACGCTGTTGTGGATATAAGAGGCAGTCATTGTG